AAGGAGGTAGTGATGCGGGTGGAGGATGAGATCTGTTTAAACAGCCTGTCGCCCTCCAAGAAGGGGCCACTTTCCAACGCGGCCAACTGCTCCGCCAGCTGCGGCTCCTGCGATGCCTGCTCACCTAGCAAAATACAACGCTCAAGAGCAGGCTGTCATCAGTAAGCACATCACAGTAATCTATGTCATCATGCAAATGAGAATGTTTCCCATTTTCAGACACAGAAAAAGTAGCATGTTCATCACCAGCACGCAGGATCAATTTACCACTATGCACATCAATAAGCGCCTTGGCGGTGGCGAGAAATGGTCTACCCAAAATCAAAGGCACATCCACATCTTCATTTATATCCAAAATAACAAAGTCAACAGGATATGTGAATGCACCAACATTAACAAGCAGATCCTCAATGATACCCCTAGGATGCACGATGGAACGATCAGCTAACTGAATGCTCATCCTAGTAGCTCTAGGTTCACCTAGGTCTAACTTCTTAAACAATTTATAAGGCATGACATTTATACTAGCGCCTAGGTCCGCCAAGGACTTTCCTACATGCATGCTGCCAATAACAAGAGGGATAGTGAAACTCCCTGGGTCTTTGCGCTTCTCGGGCAGCTTGTTCTGCAGGATAGCTGAACACTCCTCGCTTAGCATCACTGTTGAAAGATCCCCAAGTTTCTTCTTGTTGATGAGGAGGTCTTTCATGAACTTGGCATACTTGGGCATCTTCGACAGTGCCTCCACGAACGCATGCTGATGTTGACCTGCTTCAACATTGCCATGAACTTGGCAAACTCTGTCTCCAGCTTGTCTTTATGAAGTCGAGTGGGGAAGGGCAGCTGGGGTATATGCTCCTTAACCATAGGCTGCGGCTTGGGAGCAGGTGCTTCACTGCCTTCCCCCACTTCTGCATTATCAGCTGGAGGTGTTGAAGCAGGTAGTGGGTCGTCTCGCCCGGGCTGGGCGGGAGCAGCAGATATGGTCTTGCCACTCCTGGTGGTGATGGCGTCCAGCTGCTGGAGAGGGTCACGAGGGTTTGGAATAGTGGTGGCAGGCAGAGTCCCCGGTGCCCTGGTAGTGTTCTGGTGAGCTAGGCTCCCAATCTGATTCTGTAGATCCTGCAGAATGGCTCCTGGGTTTCTCTGGCCTGCCTCCAGTGAGGCTATGTTCTAATCCATCCTCGTGAAATTCGCCTCGCTGGTAGTCATGAATGCCTGCAAAATATTCTTCAGATCAGCCATCTGATTATCTGGAGCTGCGGCTGCTGGAGGCTGGGCATACTGGCGCTGGGGCTGCTGGAATGGCTGCCCCTGCCTAGGCTGGTAGGCTGCTGCTGTGGTGGTGGCCCCTGCCTAGCCTGGAAGGGCTGCCTCTGCTGAAAACCACCCGCTGGTGCTGGGAAACCAGGTGGTTTAGTGGTGTTGCTGGGAAACCACCCTCATGGCCTGACAGTCCTCCACCAGTTGATTCGGGCTCTCACACCACTGACACTAAGCTACTGGAGGCGTAGCTGTACCTCGGCCCGGAAGGAGACTGTTGGGCTGCTTCAACGTCTGCACCAGCTCAGCTACCTGATGCTCTAACCCGGACCTGGCCTCCATAGCGTGCACACCACGGTCCCGGGAATTTCTGCCTCTGCTGTTCTGCCCCCAGGAATGATCTCGGGCAGCCAAGGTACTAATCATATGGTTCAGCTCGGGTGGAGTCTTAGTGAGAACATCCCCTCCTGGGCATAGAGACTCTATCACCCTCTGGTTGTCTGGGGTGAGGGCACTGTAGAAGTTCCCCACTGTGAATGCATCACTGAAGCCATGATGGGGACACTGCCAGAAATATCCCATGTACCGCTCCCATGCATCACGAAGTGACTCGTCTGGCTCTTGGCGGAAGTGAGTGATCTTCCGCTGAATCTCTGTGGTCTTGGATGCCGGATACTACCTGTGCACGAACTTGTCTGCCAGATCGTCCCAAGAAGTGATGGACAATGGGGGCTGGGTCTCCAACCACCTCTTAGCATTCCCCGACAGAGAATGGGGGAAGAGGTGAAGGCGGATTGCGTCATCCGGGACACCGTTCAGCTTGAACCCGTTTGTCAGCTGCAGAAAACGGGAAAGATGTACCCGGGCTTCCTCATCCTTCAAGCCATGGAACTGGATAGAGGATGTAATGATTTGAATCCAGCATGGCTTGATCTCGAAGTTGTTTGCTGGAATGGGCGGATAGAGGATGACCGGGCGGATGTCAGCAATCCTTGGAGTGTAGTAGTACTCCAATGTGGGACCCGGTGGTGGTGGATGATGATGAACCCCATCTCCCTGGGGGTTGGGGTCGTTCCCCAAGAGCTGATTCACCGGAGGTGGGTTGTGATCGCCTTCCATCTCGTACTCGTCCTCGGACTCGCTGCTCAAATGGCCGTCTATGCGCTCCACCGTAGCCAGTCTAGCTCGCTGTTGTCTCCGAAGTTGGTGACAGGTGCGTTCAATCTCTGGATCCAACGGCAGTAAACCTCCCGACTGGCTACGGGTCATGCACTATCTGCACACAATCAACAATGCAAACCCGTGAAGGCACAAGTGGGAAAGAACAAACACTCAATGCGAAAATGAAAATGCTAAAGTAACAGAAATCTCTTTTCTTCAACAACCTAGCCGTCCCCGGCAATGGCGCCAAAAACTTGACTCACTCCTACTGTCACTCTAGAAAATGGCCAAGTGTAACCACTTCCTAAAACGTAGTATAGCGGGTTTGGGTTTTAATGTCAACCCGGGTCCTAGATTTGATGACTACTCGTTGAATTCTTGTTATCTAGCAGTAAAAATTTAGTGCAAGTCTAAACTAACAAACAAGCAAAGTAACTAAACAGTTGTTTTCAAGTCAAGAGAGGTCACCCGGATATGGTTCCCCCTAGACTGCAGTTAAGCCGGATTGCAATTTACCAAGTTCAATTTCTATGATAGTTATACTGCGGAAGGTTCTTAAACCGTCTGAAGTCTCGACTAAAGGTCTTCAGACCCTCTCAATCTGAGTCTCTAGCGGGCGACTAACCTCCACCGGAGTAAACAGATTGAGGCCCTAACGAACAAAACCTCCTCTACCGAAGTAACTTCGGTACAGAATAGTGAATTGGCTTCTCGACTAAAGTCACCAATTCACTACCTTCAATTAAGGGTGCTCTATCAACCTAGGCAGATATTCTCATTCTAGGTTAAAGCAGAAACAACACAAATTTGATCAGGATTCGTGCCATTCAATCATTTAAACCTCAAGTGAATATAATCAAATCATAGAATCAGTACTTGGGTTCATACAATCAGACCTAACATACAAATCTAGGGTTCCCCATACCCAGATGAGTGGGGAAACTACTCCATGGAGAAAGAAGCAAAAACAGATTCAGACACGGAAATTATACTGTGAAGATGGATTTCTGCTCCTGGACGTTAATAAGCACTTCTCCAAGCTCAAGCCGGGCTCCAATGGTGATGAAGATCAAGCTATGACACTTGGGAACTCTGGTTCGTCGCTTTCTCTCTCTAGGAATCGCTCTGTCTCTCTAAAACTCGGAACCCTTGAATGTTGGCCTTCTTCCCCTTTAAATTGGCTGCCTGTCGCGATACCCGGTCGAAATACCCAGTCGGGTATTTTGGGTCTCGACCGGGTATTATTTAAAACGCGCGTTTCATGCCAGGGGAAAATCCCCGGTCTGTCCCAATAATCCCCGACCGGGGATTTTGCCTTCACGCCCGGGCCCCTCTCTTATTCTCACGGGCGCCCAAAATGATAATACCCGACCGGGTATTCTTGGTCATGGCCGGGTATTTTCCTCCAGCAGCCCACTTCGTCCCAACTTTGCTCCTTTCGACCCAGAACTCGTTTCTCCGCCTCGATTCCAACGTCGGGTCCTGAAATATGACATAAACACACAACCTAGCGTGAAATCGGCTTAAAACACGAAAATCCACTTCTCAAACGGCTTCAAAATAGGGGTCAAAACATGTGTAATTATCGGTCTATCAATTTACTATGCAAATTTTTTGGGAATTACCAGTAACGAAAGCCTTACTACGTATATAGTTGACCCACTCCAAGGCCAAGTGATGGATGCATCTCAAGCAAGGCGTTCGAAACTTGGGGTGGTCTACTAAGTTGAGGGACAGTTCAAGTTGGTTCGACTTGATTTAATAAGTAGTCAACGATTGTCACAAGGCAAGATGGGAAGTTATCATGCTTAGAGATATGGACAAAGGAGAGTAGCAAGTTGAGGAGGGATTCTTCGAGTAAGGAATAGAGGAGTCGTCCTTTCAAGGTGAGTGTAAAGGGGGTAAAATCTCTGTCGTAGGTCTTTTAGTTTATGCTTTTCATTCAAGTTATTATTTAGTTAACTGTTGAGTAATGCGCGATATGTGTGTGAGGCATCCCACCGCCTACTTATGTTTTGGAATAAAGTTATTTAAGGAGGAAAGCGAGAACGACTTTCGTCTAAGAAAGATAACCCGCTAATAATGTGTTTAGTAAGGGTTGCTTAGGGCAAAGACCTTATGAAGTAACGACGAGACTGACCCCTTCTCACTCACCAGGTTGAGGAAGGGTTAGCGGATGAGGATTTCGAGAAGAGGCAAGGCGATGCGAGCAGCCGCACCAACATTGACGAGATGTCAAGGAGCCGACCGAGGAGCTAGAATTAGTTAGTTATATTTTGTTCATGATATGAGTATATACTGGAGGTTCAATGTTCAAGATGTGTAGTTTTAATGGCTAAGATTTGAGTTGCCCACGTGTTTAGGGCATTTCATTTGAAAAGGATTCAATTGTATTTGTTTTAAATTAATTTTTGAGGTTGTTTTAAATCGGCTCCGGATCCATGGTTATTTCGATTTGGTCAAAAGGATTGTGGCGTTTCATTCAAATTGTCATCCTGGTCGAGGAGGAGGTTATGCGGCTTGACGTCGTGGTGGGCGATGCCGTTCTCGGGGCAGAAGCGGAGGGCGGAGACGAGCTACGGGAAGTATCGGCGGGCGCCGAATTTCTTCATCCGGCCGCGCTGGACGACCTTGAAGAACAGGTCGCCGCCGATGACGAGCTCCATCACGATGAAGATCTTGGTTTTCGTGGCCATGACCTCGAGGATTCGGAGGACGTTTGGGTGGTGCTGGAGGCGGCGCATCGCCTTGATCTCGCAGATGATTTTGGTTTCCATGATGGAATCAGTCTTGGTGTTGTCGATTATCTTGATCACCACCGGATTGTCACCGTCAGTGATTGAGTAGGCGGCGAAGACCTTGGCGAAGCTACCCCGGCCGAGGAGGAGCCCCATTCTGTACTTGTTTAGGAGTGTCTCCGGAATCGACGTCGCTCTCTGGAGGGGGTTTTGCGACTTCCGTTTCTGTTGCTGATGTTGTTGTGAAGGAGGCGGCGGCGGAGGTGGAGCGTCTTGCTGCGGTGGCGGTGACTGCCGTCGGAGCTCCATGGGAGTGGGGACGGCGGCGGAGGAAGAGAGAAGGGGAGGATTCTACCATCTGGGGATCCAATTGGGACGGGGGATTTCTACTTTTCTAGTGGTTGGAGGAAAGGGGTTTTGGTTTTTATAATGTCGAGTCTGAAAAATAATAATACAACAAAACAAAAATAAAACTAAGAGAGAGTGTTTGGCAGTTGTACGTTCCATTTAGAATTCACGTTGAAAACGAACTTTCCGTCTTCTCCGAACTACCCCTCGTCCTAATTTATGTTTTTTTGTTTCTTTTGGTTCCAGCTTGTTTTCTTTCAATGTAGTTATCGCAAGGTTGTCAACCCGGTTTAGTTTAGTGGTCCGATCGACTAAGTGAATTGAGGGTTAATTGCTCGATTGATTTGCTCCTATTTAATTTGGATATATGCAAAAATTTATTATATTGTTTATAAATTTATAAATCTCATCTACATATAAAAAATAACACATAACATTACACTAATATAACAGCTCGTACTTGGCTCCAACATATAATGAAAATCCAGAAACACTCATATAATAATAATAATATTATTATTATTATTCAAATGTTCAACTTAGAATGCCAAAAATAGGGTTAGGCGAAAGAGAAAACCCTAAAAGAGACACAATTCGCAATCCAAATAGAGAAATGACACATTGTGACCTAGTGATACGATAAGTTTATACTGTTTCTAGATAAATATATTGTATATTGGAAAATCATTAACATAAATAATTTACATTCATGATTCATATTTAGATAAAATACAACATTCAAAACAAATGAAAAATCACCATATTTAAATTCAACACTTAACGTCAACATCCAAAAGTTCATACTTGAGTCCAACAAAGAAGATAAAATATTTAAACATTCATACTTGAATCCAACAAATAATATCCACATTTAACTTTCAAATTCAAGAAAAAAATTAGTTTTTGTTGTGGTAATTAAATTCACAAAAAGTGCACCGTTTTATTTAAAGGTCGAAAATAAGCCATGTCGGTCCTAACAGAGCTTTCCAACCGATTTTATAATCGGTACGAGTTGAACCCGATTTCGACCAATATGTCACTGACAATACAACCATGATTCACGGCTATAGGTTGTCAATGAGAAGGTGTTCAATACATCCCGCTATTTTGGCTGACACAAGTTAATTTTTATTGTTAGGTGTGAGATTCGAAAATTAAACTTTTAGATTCAACTTTAATGATATTATCACTAGACCAATTCTAATTGTTAGCAATTCAATAATAATTTAAGCGAGAGCACATGATGTAATTAAGATCTACTTATTAACATAATACTAAAATACAATAATATATTCAATATAAATTAACCAACCAAAAACAAGAAGTATTGATCGGTGTGCACTGTACAATGAATTAATAAGCAACTTGATGACGCTGTGTTGACGAACACACAAGTTTTCTCTATCCCCCTGTTTTTTTATGGAGGAAAAGGGGGTGAAGGAAAGTGTTTGAAGGGAAATTAAATTCCCAATGCACTTTCCCTTGTTTCTGAAAGAAGAGGGGAAGGGAAAAGAAAAAAAAATTTACTGTACCATCAATCCCTCCAAATTGGAGGGAAAGAAGAGAGAAGAAGAAAAAGTTGGCTCTTTTTATTTTTCTTTTTTGTTATCTCTCTCCTGCATCATCTCTCTCCTCCACCATCTTCACAATTCACAACCCATCAAAATAATATAAAAATATAATCAAATTATTTAATTCTTACATACCCAATAAAATAATATATCTATTACAATTTCCAATACACATTTTCCTTCCCACTTTCCTCCATAAAACATCATTTTCTTTCCAATTTCCTTAACCTCCTAATCATCCCTCCCCTCCTAATCATCCCTCCCCTCCCCTCCATTTTCCTCCCTTCCTTCGGAAACAGAGGGTATATGTAATGTATCCAACTGTTGTAAGCAATTTATTGTGGTCTGACCGCAATAAGTTATCTCAAACGTGTTGAAATATACTGGCTGATAATTATAGTAGAGCTGAAATTGTTCTCTGCATAGTATTTCTTACCTCGACCGGTAATGTTTTCCGGCAGCCTGTGGGGTGGTAGAGAGACCGGAAATTGTTGAACTGTTACAGCTGAGGAATTTTGTTATTACCGACCGGCGGGGTTTTGGTTCTTTTTGGCGGCCGAACCATATGATAAAAATAAAAAGGGAAATGATTCTCGACTTTGTTGGCTAACCACTTGTACTGTAAGAAGACAAAAATGGTTATAATTTCCAAAACTAGCTCAAAAGTGAATGGAGGCTTTGTGATGTGTTTTTACCCTGCAAAAATAGATCATCAAAATTCTATTAATTGGACTGTTATTTAGAACGATAGAGAATAGGGTTTTGACTGACCGGAGAAGCCCTAATCGTTCCAAGAGGGAAAATTTACCATTTAGGATATGTGCCATAACCATGTGGAATATATTCTCATGCAACCAAGCAAGGAAAAAATATAATATTTTAATTAATATACATGTCAATGATATTATCGTCGAAGTAGTTAAGGTGTTTCGTGTTCGACTCAATAGGGAAAAAAATGTAAGTTCGAATGAAACTCGTTTAGTGGTAAGAAAAAAGGATAAATACAATATATTAGCCACAACTATTAAGTACCGGGAAATTATAGCCACAACTATCAATTTAAAAATTATTATCCATTCGTTAGTTCTCCGTTAATGATCCGTTAGTTGTCTGTACGCAATGCTGACCTGGCCTGAAAGAGATGAGGTGGACAAAACACGTGATCGCCTACGTGGTATTGACTTAGTTATTAAAAACAAAAACAAAAAAGTGAAAAAGGTAATTTTATTTACCCTCTTTCATATCCACTCACTCACTCACTTAACTTATCCTCAACCCCTCATCTCGTATGTCTCCCTCCCCCTTTCTCTACGAATTCCATCTAAGACCGTTGCCGGCGAGGATTCTCTCCAAGTCTTGCAGGCGAGGCAGCGAGACTACCATCGCCTGTAAAAGTCCCCCCCTACACTCCCTATTTCACGAAGTCAAAGCGCCACTGGAACTCTAACCGACTCGGGAAAGGAGCGCAGCTCTCACCTGGGTTCTATCGAAGCGGCGACGACTTTGGGAAGATAAGCGAAGTCGGAAGGGACGATTCGAACTTGACCAAGGTAAGGTGGCTCTGACCTGGCTTCTGTCAAAATCTTTACCACTATCTCAAAATTAGGTTACCAATGTTTAGGGTTTCTCCGATTCAAATATCACCCATTCTGATGGTTTTGGGGTTGTCTAACATTTTTGAAAGTTGGAATAATTTGATTGTGAAGTATAGGGAACATTGGATTATTGAGATGTTTGAAGGAATCAGAAGTCACATTATGGTAGTGGTGAGGAAGAAGCATAGGAAGTTCAAAAATATGCAAGGTTTGATTTGCCCACGACCTACGAGGGAGATACTGAAACATGATGAAATGGCTAGGAAGTGTGTTGCTATAGCTAGCAACGATCACATGTTCGAGGTCAAGCTTGAGAATTCAGCTTTTGTGGTTGATTTGAAGAATCGTACTTGTACTTGTGCGGCTTGGGACTTACGTGGTCTGCCTTGTTGCCACGTGTTGGCTGCTATTGGGTTGATGAGGTTGCATTTGGAGGATTATGTGGATCCTTTCTACTATGTTCCTACTGTTGCTAAGGTTTACAAAGGAAGCATCCCTTGTCTGGTGGGCCAGCAAGCTTGGCCTAGGGCGGAGGGATATCCCATTTACCCTCCAAAGCAAAAGGCGATGCTAGGATACCAAAAAAGAATAGGAGAAAGGAAGCAGGTGAGCTGGAGACAAGGTTGCATAAGGGTGGAAGGCCTTCTGGTACATGCATGTAAAAAAAAAGGAGTGGTGTTGCATTGCTCATACTGTCGTGTTTAAGGCATGTCAACCTGTATGTTTCTCTTGTTTTATTTAAGCATTCTTTACTTGTGATGAATGATGGATTCTGACTTTGCCCTTGTTTTCTTGATGTAGACATTAGTAGTTGGGAACCTGGACATGAATTTGGTTGTTGATGGAGAACATAGGGCTGCTTTAGGGGCTGATTCTATATATGGAAATGTTGGAGCTAATACTGCAGAGGGAATTGGAACCCAACCAACTCAGGTTGATACAATTGGAGCTTCTTCAACTCAAACGAAGTCTCAACCGCAACAAGACACAAATTGAAGACTTGTGTTTGGAATGTGTCTTTGTGGTTACTTTAGCTTTTGTCTATAGAACAGTATGTTAATAGGGTGGAGGTTTTAATTTGAGCTTGCAAGGTGATTCCAGTTTGTTTCACCACATTTTACATTTTGTACAAGCTCAATTGATCTTGTCCCAAACACTATGGAATTATCTAACATTGTGGACCAATGTCAATCGAGCTTGTAAGGTGATTCCTTTTGGTTCACCATATTTTGCATTTTGTACAGGCTCAATTCAGTTTGTCACCAACAGTACAGATGTAACTCAACAAGCTTCTTTTGAAACAATTTAGCTTTCATACAAGGTATCTACATGACTTGTTCTGGTAATTGCAATGACCCACAAATAGACAATTCCAGTGTTTCATAGCAGGAAGTTGAAGTTTTACTTGTTTTTTTACACATCACAATGCTCAAACTAAACTGGAATAGAACATTACATAACTATTTTCCTACATATTACTACACCTCTCAAACTCTGTGACATCTACAGAATGCAGCATAAACTACGACACCAATTATTACGAACATCAAACTTGTTATGTTGGTGTCAAGGCTAGAGACAATGTTGCTCATTCTGTCCAGCTTGGAAACCATCTTTGCATGACCTTCTCTAGTTCTAATTA